TTTAATTAGCACTTCTGGATCCCTGTGGGTCCTCGCTGTCCTCCTGAGCAGGGGGCTGGCCCTCTGTTCCTGCAAACATTAGTGTTTCCCCAAATAGCTCCTGGAAAAGGAGGCTCTGGCTTCTCCACCAGAAAAGAGGCTGTGCAAACGAGCTTTCTGCGCAGGCAGGCTCAAAGGTGAGGGAAGCGCCCTCTCTCTGGGAGATGTTTAAAGCATTTCTGCTTAGATCACAGAGAGGTGCAGTCAATACAAGTCCATTTCGTCCTTCACCCTTCCTCAGGGGAAGCTGAACTGAGCTCTTGGTGCACAGGGCACGGGCTGCAGAGTAGATTGAGGAGAATGAAGGGGATGCTGCAGGTAGGATGGGGAGAAGATGAAGGGGAAAAGTGGCCAACAGGCCTTTAATTGTGTTTGGAAGAGCTAAGAGCCCAGAACTGGCCCAGACATCCCAAGGCAATTTCCAAAAGCAACTGTGGAGGAAGAAGCCGGCACCTTTCTCCCCTCCTTTGAATGGGTGGCTTGGAAGTAGGAGGAGCAGCCAGGAATCCTCAGGGCACCCTTATCCCACCAACTGCCTGGGGACTGGAGGGAAGCCAGGCTGCCAGCCTCCTGGGCTTGGGAATGTGCCCCAGTGGAAGCAGAAGGAAGCTGCAGTCCCACCCCTGCCCCATCACGGAGAGGAGGTGCTGACACCAGTGCCCAGGCCAGGGGGCGGGGGCTGGGGAGGTGGATCCAGGGGAGAGAAATGGCTGCTGCCAAAGCTCTGGCTGTGGACAACGAGTCTTTGTTGGATTTCTAGCTCCACTGACTTTTCTTCTCTGAGGTTAGTTTCCTCACCTGAGAATGAGGGCTTTGTTGGACCAGGTGCCAAAGGTTGCTTCCAGCCTTGCCTTTGGGGACCGGTGAGAACACAGGGGAAGCGGAGAGAGAGGAAAGTGCAGGAGAGGCTGTGCTTTAATAGAGGGACAGGACCTCAGCCCTGTGTCTGGGGGGTTTGGTGTGTCTGTAGGCATCTTGAGGCTCCAGGCTGGGGGCCTAACCCATAAAGGAGGAGTGGAAAGACTCCCTACATTTTGATGACATCAGATGAGGAAACTGAGGCCCAAGGAGCTTTAAAAGACTCACACGAGGTCACGTGGGTAGCAGGCAAGAGACCTTTGTCCACTCTAGGGAGGGAGGGTCAGTGCAATTCCATGTGCCAACTCCGATAGGTAGATAGGACAGTTGGCAGTGTCACACTGAGGAGAGTCCATGACCCATGAGCAACGCTGGCCACAGCCTTGGGAAGAGGCAGTAACAGCATGGATGCCACAGATTCGCTGTACTTACTGATTCCTTTAGTGAGTTGTTATCCAGACGCTACTTCATGCAGGGCACTGGTACTTACTTACCCTGGGGAGTCAGTGGTAAGGAAGACAAGCCCCTGCCCTCAGACAGTTTATATTCCAGAAGGGGAGAATGACACTCTACATGGAAACCAATGGCTAAACAGTATAATCTCATCTAGTACCAAGGAGTATAAGGAACATGAGAGAGTTCATTGGGTAGAGAGGGACAGTGTGGGGAGTGGGGAGGAGATCGAAGTGGTGGTGGGGGGAGGCGACCTTTAAGCAGAGACCTAAATTCTGAGAGCGGGCAGCTCTGTAGGAGCTGGAAGAGGAGCAGCCAGGCAGGAGGAACAGCCAGTGCGAAGGCCCTGAGGGGACAGCGGCATGGAGGCTGCTTAGATGGCAAGGAGGGGTCAGTGAGGGAGATGGGAGAGGCGGAGCCAGCTGTCTGCTCAGTGAGCTCACTCAGACATGCAACAGGTCTCCCAAATAGCCAGTCCAAAGTGGCACTCCCAGTCCCAAGCCTGTACCTCCAACCAAATTGTTCCTCCCTAAGCCTGTCCTTTTCTTCCCATAAACGAGCACCCACAGCATCTTTTGAAGGAGAATATGGGGTCAGTCACAGCCTTGTGGGCACTGAGCCCCAATTCAATTCACACACATTCCTCTAGTTGTCCCCCAAAATGACAGTGTTTCCAGCATGGTTCTTGGGACTGGGCACTAATTATCATGGGGCCCACTTATCAGGTACCTGCAGTGCTCCTGGCGCTTGTGGCCAGAGCATTACACTGACCCTGCAAGGCAGGGATGATTCTCATCCCTCCTGGGACCAGAAAGTTCAGCCCCTTACCATAAGGCCCCCTGCTGGTAGATGGCTGAGCCAGGATTTGCAGGAGTCTCTCTGATGCCAAGGCCCAAACTCTGGCTTCTACACTGAACTTCCTCCAGGACTCAAATGGGCAAAAGATGACAGGTGCCTGGACCTCAGTCTGGGTGTTTTCCTTTCTTTCCAAACCAGAGCCTGCTCCCTGGGTTCCTTGGCACAACCTCAGCCTGGGTAGATAAGCAGTTTAGCACCTTCTGCCCACCCAGCCCTGGAGAGGTGAAGGTGTTCTAGTTCTTATCTGGTCTGGCTTTCCGTCTGCGTCCTTCCACCTGCTCCCTCTCACGTCCTCTATGTTGCCAGGCGGTTGGTCACCTTCCTGCCATGGGCTGTTGTAGCCAATGCCCAGATGCCCTTCAGCCAGTTGGCCTCTTGATCAGGAAGCATTCCCGTGGGAACCATGGTGCCAACATCCGGTCAGGACGGGCCCTCTGATACCTCCTGGCCCTGCTGCCTCTGCTTTCAGCCTCAAGAACAAAGCAGCTCGCTGCCTGCCGCCCCTCATGCTGTGTTTGCCCAGGGCGAGGCCTAGGCTGGCACAGATGCTGCGCAAACAGGAGTGTCGGCTTCACAGATCCGCCTCACAAGCAGCAGGGCTGCAGCTGGGAGGTGTTGCTGCTAGGCTACCTGCTGAAATGTTAGCCTGTCCAACTCCAATCAGCACCCAGGGCAGAGGGGACCGTGGGGCAAGCAGCCCACTCTCTGAGCCTCAGGCTTTCCAGCTGTGCAGTGGGAGAGCTGCACAAGATGATCTGTAAGACCCCTGTGTGGGCCTTGAGTGATGTTGCTGGAAATCTCTAGGGCTTGAGAACAGGTCTGGGAGGCAGGAGTACCTGGGGGTGGGGGTGGAATCTGGGCCTTTGTCTCAAGGCACCTTGGCCTCCACTCCTGCTTCAGCCTTGTGTACCCCTTGTGCCCCTGTGTGGCCAGAAGGACTGACCTCTCTCAGAGCAAGGTCTTTGAGCACCACATCCATGACCCCACTTTACCCTGTGGAGCTTCCAGACTGGAACTAGGGTACTTCCCAATGAGATGATTAAGTGTTACCATCTTGCTTCTGAGGCCACTTAGGATCTGACCTCTCACTCTCTGCCTCCAGAAATCTTAGGGCATCAGGGCAAGGCTCCGAGGGCCCATGGAAGCATGTTTCTCCAGTGAGGGCAGTGAGAGGCTGCATGCTGATAGTGATTCTCAGATTGTAGTGTGCATCAGGGAGTACTCGTTTAACGTACAGAATGCGGGGCCCGTGTCTCAGAGACTCTCAGGTCCACGACGAGAGGTGGGGTGGGTGGCTCAGGATTCTGAGTTTTTAACAAGCACTTGAGTGATACTTAGATCTCTGATGAAGTGTGATGAGTTAGTCTAAAAGCGGTACAGTCCTCTGTTCAAACCGCTCTGCTGCCACTTATTAGCACTGGGGCTTGGAGCAAGTCACTAAACCTTTCTAGGTGTCAGTTTTGTGTGTAAAATTAGGCTATAATAACATCTGCCACTTAATAAATGAGACTATTGTTCCAGACTGTTTATTGCACCTTATAAATTTTGTTGATCAAATGGGGTAGAAGTCCAGGTTTTTAAACCAGAAACCTGCGGTTCTCTTTGATGTCTTTGTCTACCACATATCTCCCAACCACATATCTCTCAACTACTCACAGATCTCGTGACCTCTACCTCCTAACACATATTAGACCTGCCCACTTCTCTCCCCGCCACTACCGCCACCTAGCCCAGGCCTCCATCTTCGTCTACCTGACCACTGTACAGCTTCCTCTCTGAGCTGGTTTCCACCCTTGCCTCCTCCCACTCATCCTTCCCAGAGGAACCATGCTAGTCTGTTTGGGTAATGTCTCTGCTTCCAAACCTAGCTCTGAGGAAGGTCTTACGAATCTGAAAACAATTCCTCTGATTCCCCCACACCTACTTCTAAGCTTTCTTTCAGCCCCTCTCAGACTCTGCAAGAGCTGCACTTCTTTCAGATTCCTTCAATGAATATCAGTGTCTCTTACCTGGGGACTCCACACCAAGTGTGTTTGCTCTGCCTGAATCAACCTCCACCCCCACTCCCCAAACACACATACTTCACCTACAACTCATCATTCATATTTCAGCTTGAATGTCATTTTCTCAGTACCAGACAGAGCCATGCCCCTCCCATGTGTTCTAGTAACTCTGTCTTTCCTTCGTAATACCTATTACACTCATGCTTGCCTCCACCACTAAACTAGCTCCGAGAGAATGCAAAGCTGTCTTAGCCATTGCTGTAGCGCCGGCAGTGACTGGAGTGTTTGGCTCAGAGAAGGATGAGATACATGGCTGAATGCGTGAATGAAGGAATGAACGAGTGAGAAGGCGCTGGTCGCAGGGAGTGTGGAGGTGAGTGCCTTGTGATGCGAACTAAACTGAATTTAGGGTCTGAACCAGCCTGCGGGAAAGACAGCCATGTGGGGGCGTCCCTGGGCATATACAGGCCACCGGGGGGCGCCCGTGGTTCACCGTATCTGGATGGCAGCTCCTCGGTTACAAATTGCCCATTGGCGACAGGAGGCGGTGTTTCCCTGTGATAGACAGTATTGCTCCGCCCAATCTAATTCATCTTTTCCTTGGTCCTGCCCACTCCGGACCTTGAGGATGGGCTCGTTGGAGGCGCCGCCAACTGAACTTCAACAAGCGCTGTCGGGGCGGAACCACACTGCTGACGCTCCGTGAGTGGGCGACCTGTGAGTGGAGGCGGGGCCTCGGCTTTAACAGGCCGAGGGCCGGTCCCGCCCCTCTCGCCCAGAGCGGCCGCGCCAGCTCCCGGTACCGCAGAAGTGAGGACGTGAGCGGCGCCGCGGGATCCGTCTTCTGCCTTCCGACGGCCCGGGTTCCTGGAGTCCCGGATCAAAGTCGAGCCCGTAACGCACCTCCGGATTACCGTGCACCCCGAACGACCACGGCTTGCTTCCTCTCGCCCCGGCCGGCCTCCCTGAATCTTCCATCTCCGAGCTCTCCGGTGCCCCGAATCCTCCTGGACCGGCGCGTCCAGATTCCCACGGGACCGACCTGCTAGCATCGCCGGCTCGGAGCGTCGCCTCGACCCGGAATCGCTGGTCTCGACTGCACCCCCTCTTTGCTCCGTTTCTTGTCACCGTGCGCGAGTGCTCCTCGGAGCGCGACGAGCGGACCTTCACCCGGGTGTCCGCAGCCCAGCCGGCGCGGCTTGGCGGGGCCCGGCTCGGCTCCCAGAGCCCGCCTGGCCATGGCCCGAGCCCGCCCGCCGCCGCCGCTGCCGCCGCCGGGGCTCCTGCCGCTGCTCCCTCCGCTGCTACTGCTGCTGCCCGCTTGCTGTCACGCGCTGGAAGGTGAGCAGCGTCGGGGTGCGCTTCCAAGGGCTAAGATGCTCGGTCTCCCTAGTGTGGGCCGGAGAGAGCCCGCAGGGTGGTCCGATGCGGGCTGAGCGCACTTCGGAAAAGGGTCCCCCACCTTCGCCTGCTCCAGGGGCTGGAGGACGGGATGGTGAGGATGCCCCCAGAGACGCCTCCGAGCGTCTCTGAAACCAGTGGTCCACAGGTTGCGAGATCGTGGGCAGTTCGACTCGGGTCAGCGTCCCAAGAGTCCTGGCCCCGCGGTGCGCTTTTGTGGGAGTACCCCTCGGAGCAGCGGGGGCCTTCGGTACCTGCAGGAGGCGAGGAAGTGTGGGCGACCCCCGGGCAAGGCAGAGATTCTGAAGCTGCTGCAGAGTTGTGGCGGGAGGGGGCAACGCGGGACTCCCCAGGTTGGGGGCCGGCGTTGATTTCGAGCCCGTTGGAGTTAATTATGAGTGTGAGCGCGCACACCCCGCTTTGTCAGGGAATGGCTGCGGGGGTGGAGAGGCGGGTGCCTGTTATTGTTTGTGGTTTACCGAGTGCCAACTGCACACGAGGTGCTGTGTGCGTGGACATTGCACACTGCTCTGTGGATCCCCCTCCACCGCCTAGCAGGCCACCCCCGAGTGCTCGGGTCTCCACCGAACCCATGCGGTGGTGGGGTTGGCCCCGGGTGGCACTGCAGCCAGGTGCCTTACCCATTAGCCAGTGGGACAAGGCCGGGCTTCCCAGTGGTTCTGAGAAACCTGCCCAGACTGCTGCTGAGAGGGTGGCTCCAACTTCCAAATGACCGTAGTTGGGTGAACAGCCCAGGTGTTGTCGGGCTGGTGGGAGAGCTCACACACTTGCCACTTGGCACAAGCCTGTGGCGGACAGGGAACTGACACTGGACGCAAAGCACACACATACGGTTTCAAAAAAAAATTGAAGCTATGGATTGAGGGAAGAATAACCTGTAATGTGGAAGAGAGAGCACCACAAAAATTGGGGGGAAATTAGAATATAGGCAGTACTTCAATGTCTTTCACAGGTCTAGTCACTTACTTATTTTAAGAACAAAACCGACTTCTGTTCCTATGTTCACAATGGGGGTAAAGTTAAAGGGTGGAAGGAAAAAAACAGTTCTGAGAGAAAGGTATCTTCTGGTGCTTTCTGATTTTGTCCATGGAGAACATGTTCCTATGTACTCCCCACCCCCACCCCGCCCCACCACTTTTATCTCTGAGCTCTTTGGTTGCTGACAGACCGATTCACACGGTTGGACACATGCAAATTCAGACAGACGCACAAGGTTGCGCCCACACTTGTGCACACTCATCCACATGTGTGTGATAGGATCGCTGGCATGAGAAGCCAGTGCGGGCTTTGTTGTTGGTTGCCTCGAGGCTGTGAGCCAGCGAGCCTGCTGAAGTTCCCAGGTCCCCGTCTCGGCCCAGGAGAGGCGGCACAGGCACACACGCTTACGGGGCTACATGTGCCCAGCTCCAGGGCCCTTGCTGTGGGGTGTGGTGGGCACTGGTGCTCAGGAGGGGATGGGGGTGTGGCTTGGGCCAGTGGAGCGAGGACTACCCGAGGAGGCTCCTGCCTTCTCTCTGTCTCTTTTCCCCCCTCACAATCTGCTAGGCCCTCTGAGGCAGGCCCTGGCTGGGTGCTGGTCTCTGGAGATCAGGGAGCGGAGGGAGGGGCCGACTAGGAGGCAGAGACCTGATGAGCTGTGGCCCCTACCCCTCTGTGGCCCCAGAGGTCCTCCCCCCTCAGCCATGAAGTGGGATCTAGGGCTGCTCTCAGGCTGGGAGGCCAGGCCAGTGTGGGATGCCCCGAGGAAGCTGCAGTGCCTCCCAAGTGTGGCTTTCACCAGTTCCTTCTGCCAACCCCAGACCTTAGGGTCTTTGGTTTGTGTGTGAGAGAGTGAAAGGAAAAAGAGAGATTCTGCAGGCACTGGTCGCAGCCAGGATGGCACCCCTGTCCACCCTCCAGTTCTCCCTCACAGTGAGATGGGGTGGGATAGTACCCACCTCCTAGGGTTGTTGTGAGGGTTGAATCCTTAATGTGTGTGGAGTGCTTAGCACATAGCCATTGTTATTCAAGGATTAGCTGTTATTATTATCATCCCAGGGTTTGCTCCTTAGGGAACATCAGAAGTGGAAATTCACAGTTGTGCCCCTGCCCTGCTGGAGAGTGGTTATAGGAAAGAATAATGGGGAGAGGGAAGGTCGGTCTGAGGAGAGAGAAGTTGTCACCTCACCTCCCTCCCCCTTTAGCTGTGGGAGGGATGGGGTGAAATGGGAACAGAGCTGTCCCTGACTCCAGCCTGTCCCCCACCCCTATTCTGGATGGAGCTGGAACAGTGGGATGGGTAGGCTTGGAGGTCCTGGGCTGTGACTCCGGGGGAAGCACTGCAGATCTCGTCAGTGCCCCCGGCTTTCTGGGCAGGGGACCTAGCCTCCTTGCTTCAGCCTTCCATTAGGCTTTGCCAGGATATGGGCTTGCTCTTGGCCTAGGGGAGACCTTGGCTCCCTGCACCCGAAGTCGTTATATTTAGGCTCAGGGTTCGTGAGCGGAGGACGCAGCCCCTTGTGGACTGGCTCATTAGATACTGGCTAGCACCCAGTTGCTCTCCCCGCCCCTTACACCTGGGCTTCAGCAAAACTCTGTATCAAAGGATTGCGTTAGTTTTCCGTGAAGATGGAGCCAGAGCCCTTGCTTGTCCTCCCGGGTTGAAGAAACACCCCGCCCCTTGCCCTTTGACTGGTTACCCCACCCCCAACACACACACATAAACACACACACACACACACTGCCCTCAGATTTACCCACGGACACGGGGAAACAAGGCCACCTTGTTGTTCGGTCTCCTTTCCAGCAGTGTTCCCCAGTCTCCCAAGTGAGACCACCCTCCCTTTCAGGAACAAGAATGGGAGTGGGAGTGGGATCCGGTAGGCGAGCGGACCAGGCCCAGGGTGTGGGATGAGGAGGGCTCTTGGAACCAGAGTCCTCACACCTGAGACAGGAAGGGCAGGGCCCTGCTGGGAACCGCAGACCCTTTGGAGAAAATTGAAAAGCAGTTGTGAGGTGGGGAGCCGGCGGGCCCCCTCCTGGCCAAGTCACCTTAGCGGAGCTGCCGCTGCAGGGGAACTGGTTCCTGAGAGAAAGGGGCGGTGCGTGAGGCCAGCTCTTTCTCAGGCTGCGGCACTGACCACTGACCACTGTGTATGTGGTAACCGAGCGGGGCAATGGCCTGGGATTTTTGCGGCCGGCTCACTTGTTTGAGTTGCCTCTGCCCGCCCCGCCCCCCAACTCCAGTCCCTGTTTGTCATGAGCCAGCGCTTCAGAGCTCCTGCTGAGAGACAGTGGCAGGTATTTGGGGAACCAGTTTGCTTGTCACTGCCTTGCCTTTAGCCAGAACTGCTGCTGCCACTCTGTGGCCTCAGCGGCAGTGAGCGAAAGCTGAAGCTGCCATGGGCAAGGCCTCTGCCACCCGGCCTTGTACTAATTAAACAGCGTGAAGAGGCTGAATCACCAGGGCTGCATAGTTTGAAAATTGTAGCCCTGCCTGTTGTGCTGAGTCAAACTGGTTTGTCGGGATTGGCAACTGGAGGAGGGGAGTGTTGGGGAGGCAGCCTGGGTACAGCTGGACACCTGGTTGGGGTGGGAGAGGCCCCTTGCCCCAAGGGCTGCCCTAGCACCAGGTCTCTAGTTGTCTTCTGTCCCCAGACTCCCGGCCAGACCCACTCTGATTCGGATCCCTGGGAAGGCTCAAAGGCCTCACCAGGGCTGTCTATCCAGACTTCTGACTGGCTGGCAGGGCCAGGACTTGGGGTGGGGGGCATGGATGAGTACCGAGGCATCTGGGCTCCCTGCCCTTTGCTTTTTCCTCCCTTCTCCTCCCTCTCAGGTTTATTTAATTATAAATCCCCATGATCTGAGGAGAAGAATGAAAAACAAAATGTGTTCTCTGTTCTGAGATGCTCCACACCCCTCTCTCCAAGACTTGAGTGCCAGAGGACTGTGGTGGGGGCAGATGGATGGGAAAGGTGGCCCTGAGTGAGTTAGGCTCCTCCGGGTTCCCTGGCAGAGAACCCCAAGACCCTTTGGTCCTCAAGAGAGAAGACTGGGGACAGATCCCTGGAGTTGGTTGCTGAGGTAGGGGCCCTATGTGTGTGTGTGGGGGGGTGCAACTCGGGGGTGGCAGGCAGCTCTTCCTCCCTGCGGGCAGGGCTCCGGGATGCGCCTTCTTGCCCAGGCCACAGCTTCTCTGTCCTCCTGCCCCTGCACACTCTGCCCTGGAGAGTGACCTTTTCCCACCACCATGAAGCCCTTGGGCTGGAGTTGGGCTTAGAGGCATCTCACTTCCTTCTCTAGAACTTTTTGGTTCCCTGTGTCTCACCGACACCCATTCACAGGGTGGGTGCTATGGGGCCTCGCAGTGTGGGGCCAGTCAGGGCCGGTGGCGGGCTCCTAGCTGGTGCTCCTGGCCCAGGGTGACCCAATGAGGCTCTCAGACACAAGCCCTGTTCTCCCTATGCTGGGCCCCTAACTTAGGTGTGGAAGTGTTGCTCAAAGTTCCTGTGGCCAGATCTCTTCACGATGCCACCTCCTCCCCAAAGGCTCAGGGGCCCTTGGGACAGTGCCATTGTGCTGGCAGGGAAGTGGCGGCTGCTTGGCCACAGGCTGTACCTGGGGAGGCTGCACCCAGCCACACCCAGAATCATCTTGATGCCCCTGCCCCCCCCCCCTCCCGCCTGTGACCTGTGCTGCCAGGGCGATGGGAAGCAGGTCTGCACCTCTGGTCAGAGCCGCCCCAGTACCACTGCTTTCTTAGCGGACACTGCCCCCTCCGAACCCCTGCCCTAGAGAGACCTTCCATGCAGCGCGCATGCGTATGTTGCACGTGCGTGAAGGATGTACCTCTGAGGCTTTACACAGACTCTAGATGTTAACACTTACGTTGTGTGTGTACGCGCCCGCCGCGTGTTTCAGTGCCAGGGGCCTCTGTGTGTGTGCGTGTGGCAGGTAGATGTGACTGTGTAAGACCACGTAAGAGTCTGTGCAGGAGAGCTGGCGTTTGTGTTTGCACTTGCCCACACTCAAGACTGGAGCTTGTGACTGGCAACAGTGTGTGCAGTGGTGTGTGTCCCTCTGCGGATGCAGGCGTCAGGGCGTCTGCACCGATGCGGACGGTAGGAGTGAGTCTGGTCTGAGGCCAGGAGAGATGCTCTGTGTGCCAGTGTCAGGAAGCCCGACGTGCCGGCACCGTGTGCACCGTGTGTCTGAGGGAGACGGACCGCCATGGCTACCTGTGAAGCCGTGTGTGCATCTGTGGGCAGCTGCGGCTTTGTGTGTGTTTGTCCACCATGTGTGTTGACTCTGTGCTCCTCGGCTGCAGCGGTGGGGGTGAGCCTGGCTGCGCAGAACTGCGAGGAACGCGTGCGTCTGTGCGTCTGTGCACAGGCGAAGGCCACACGGCGGCTGCCACGTGGCTGTTCTCTGTCGCTTTGTGGAAGTTTAAAAGTGGTATTGCTTCACTTCTAGGCATCCGAAGGCCTAGTCCCAGAAGGTCCCCAGGCCTGGGGTCCACTTCCCTGCTTGCTTTGGGGGGGCCTTTGGGGTTCCCTCGCTGACCCAGCCCTGTATCTGGGAGTGGCCGGCTGCTCCGTGGTCTCCCTCCAGCAGCCACATGGTGGAACAGAGGAGGGTAGGGGTGCAGGCAACAGCTGGGCATTTGGCGACTGCTCACTCACTCTTCTTTTGTCTTTACCCCCCCCCCCCCCCCCCCCCCCCCCCATATCCTTTGCCCCAACCTCAGCGCACACACCCACACCACACACGGAGCAGAAAAGAGGTGGGCTCTGCCGGGTTGGGCCTCTCCCTCCCAGCAGTCGGGGGCTCTGTCCCCCTCCCTCCCACTCACACCCTTCCAGAGGCTGGGACTGTTTGCTGAAGGGAACGGACCCCTCCTCTCGCCCAGAGAGCCAGCCCCCTCCCTGTCGGGGTGACCGGAGCCCTTCCTCAGGCACACAGGACTCGAAATCCAAGTCCTCTCCTCATTAATGGGAAAAATGTGCCGAGATTGAGCGATGGCCAAGGCTGAGCGATGGCCAAGGGCCGATCCCCTCCCTCCTCCTCTCGCTCCCCAGAAATTAAACAGAAATGAAGAGCCTCCCCCTTTCTCCTGCCCGCCCCCCTCCTCCCACCGCCCCCCACTCCCCTCCCCTCCCTCAGAGCCAGCGCAGGGCTTGTTTTAAACTGTGGAGGAATCTGGCTGGAGGGGGGAGGGGGCTGAATATTTGGGTTTAAACAGTTCCAGATGGGTTTGGCACAGGCCGAGCAGAAGGAAGTGAGGGCGAGGGAGGAGGGAGGCAGCCGAGGGAGCAGCGCGGGCGGGTGGCGGGCAGCGGGCAGACGAGCGGGCGGACTGGCGGGCTGGCTGGGGGAGGGGTGCGTTCGGCCGGGCTGGCCGGGCTCCCCGGGACGGGGCTACATCGGGCTGCTGGCTCGGGCAGAGGCCGCTTGACAGCCTCCCTCTCTGCCTCTGTTTCCTTGGGCCTCTTGTCTCTCCATCTCACTGTCTTTTGTGACGCGCCGTCGGCCATCCCAGCTGTCTGGTCCTCCCCGGCCGACTCTGCACATCCCTCCTGCTCAGAGCCGCCCCCCATCCGCCTCCATGAGGCCCCTGCTGCACCGCCAGCCCCTTTCCCTGCCTGTCTCTGCGCCCCTGCTTCTGCCCCGTCCCCTCTTCCCTCCTGTCCGCCCCGCCCAATGTCTGTGTCTATCTGTCTGTCTGCCAGAGGGGCCTGTCAGGCCACCGACGACGACTTTGAGTCTGGGAGAGGTCACCCTGCAGCCCGCCCTCCGGGGACCAGCGCGGCAGGGACTGGCTGCCCCACTGCCTCACCTGAGGGACTGGGGCCACAGCTGCCTCCTCCACCGTCTCAGCTCAGACCCAGACTGCAGGGAGCCAGCGAAGGCCACAAGCCTGGAACCTGTGGGGTGTGGGTCTTTCCCCTCCGGGTCCCCTCAGCCTGCTCTACTGTTGGTGTAAAGGCCTCCAGAAGTTCTGGGGTGACTGTGCCCCATTCCAGCTGAGAGGGGAGGGAGGATGGCTGGCTGTCCTGTCTTCCCCTCAGGAAAGGAGTTGGCACTTTTGTTTCCTCTTTCTTGCTCCTAGATCTGATCTTGGGGTCACACTGTCAGCAGAGTTGTTTAGTCAGAACCCAGGCCCAGGTTCTGAGGGGAGCAAGTGTATGTCAGCAGCATTAATGGGCTCCTGCTGTGGCTGAGCAAGGGGAAGGGGACGAGACACTGCAACTCAGAAAAGGACTGGTGCTGTGACAAAGCCCTTGGTCCTGGATGCACAAAGGAAGGCGTCTAACCCTGTCTTAGGGGTTCAGGGAAGGCTTCCTGGAGGAGGCGACCACTTAGTTGAGGCTTAAAGGATACACAGCAGCTGTGCAGGCTTTCTCTGTTTCTCCTTTACAGAGGGCCGTATTGCAGGGAGCATGTGGTGGTTTTAAGGGGTTAGTTGTGGAGTCAGACCCACATTTGAGCTGCCCCTCAAGCCTTCACCCCAAGTCCTAGCAGTTCTACCTTAAACCATGTTTATCTGAGCTTTGGTTTTCTCATCTGCAAAAGGGATACGCCAACTGTACCTTCATCTAAAGATTGTAGGAAGAACCGCACTGGCTCTCAAGGAGCTGGGTCTCGGGGGCCCCCTTCCCACCCTCAAAGAGCATTCCCGCCCCATCCACCCGAGGTGGCTGAGTGGGAGGCTGGGGTGGAGTGGGCTCTGACCCCTAACTGCCCTCCCCTTCCTCGGGGCAGGGTGTGTGGGGCTGGGCCTTTGCGTTGGGAATGGAATCAAGGGAGGCCTGGGCAGCAGGGTCTGAAGCACACGGGCCTTTGTTCCAGCATAAAGGCTCTGCTGGCCCCTTTGTGTGGAGATTAGCAGAGGCTGTAGGTGTGTGAGCCGGCCCTGGCTCTTGCCTCATTAACCCGGCCTGGGGTCAGCAGCAGACACCCGCTCTCAGCTGGCCTGACCTGACATCTCTGGGGCTGTGACATCTCTGGAGATGGCTGCAGGGTCTTCTCCAGGGCAGGGGAGCTGTGGGCTTGGGGGACTTAGGGGAGGGGGAGGGTGGTGCCTGGCAGGAATTGGTCTCTGGTGTTCTGGCCATTACTGGGTGACCTTTCTTCCCACCCTGAGCTCGGCCCCTGACCTTTTTTCTTCCGTTGCTCCCCCAGAGACCCTTATGGACACAAAATGGGTGACATCTGAGTTGGCGTGGACATCTCATCCAGAAAGTGGGGTAAGACTTCTTTCCTCACCACTCGCTTCTCCAGCAGCCATCCTCCTTGCTCTCTCGGGGCTGGAGAAGGGCCACCTCTCGCTGCCTGTCAGTTTCGACTCCTGCAGCACCCCCTCCTTTTCACCTGTCACCTGCCTTCTCTGCCTGATGGCCCATCTCTGCGGGTATTTTTGTCACTCAGCCTTCAGCCTGCCTCTGTCCCCTCCTACACACATCATCTTTGTCCCGTTTCTGCCCACCCTCAGCCTGTCTGCAGCCTGTTCCTGCCCCCTCCAGCCTGACAGCCCGTTGCGTGTCCACCCTGGCTCCTTCTTTCCTGGGCCCCCTGGGAAGAGCAAGTGGCCTGGGAACCAGAGAACCCTGGGTCCAGACCTCTAACTCACTCTGTGACCTTGAGCAAGGCAGTTTATGTTTCTGGGCCTCCATTTCTTGACTGCAAATCCTGTAGTCCCAACATCTCCAAACTATTCTAATTAACCTCCTTAGTTGGCCTCCACAACGACACTAACCTCTGGAGCCCCAAGGTTGACTGTGAACACTTGGACAAGCCCCTACCTTTGTGAGCCCTGACTTCCTTTTCTCTGGAGTGAGAACAACAGGTGCACCTTCTTGTGAGGTTGCTGTAAAGGATAAATGTCATAGCTAATTGTATTGCATGCTTACTCTCTGTCAGGCGCTGTTATAAGCCCATTACTTGTATGACTTCCTCACAGCCTCATTTACTTCCACTCAGCTTTTTTTTAGAGATAATGCAACTAAAGCACAAAGATAATAAACAGTAGGTGTAACACTCACATGGTATTATCAAATGTCCTAAGTGCTCTATTCATTTAAAGTCATTTATTCCTTGTATAGCTTCATTCACGCCATGTTACAGATGGGGAAATGGAGGCAGAGGGAGGGTAAGTGACTTATCTGCAGTTACACAGCTGGCAGAGAACTGGGATTTGAATGCAGATAGTCTGTGTGTACAGCTACTATAGCGCAGAAGCATATCTGTGAAGTAAATACAGCAGGTCTGGTCGTCTGGTGAGCACTTGGCAAATGCTGGCGCTCACGCCATGTCTTTTCACCTGGTCCCTGTACAGTGGGAAGAGGTGAGTGGCTACGACGAGGCCATGAACCCCATCCGCACGTACCAGGTGTGCAACGTGCGTGAGTCAAACCAGAACAACTGGCTTCGCACGGGGTTTATCTGGCGGCAGGATGTGCAGCGGGTCTATGTGGAGCTCAAGTTCACTGTTCGTGACTGCAACAGCATCCCCAACATCCCCGGCTCCTGCAAGGAGACCTTCAACCTCTTCTACTACGAGGCTGACAGTGACGTGGCCTCAGCCTCCTCCCCCTTCTGGATGGAGAATCCCTACGTGAAGGTGGACACCATCGCCCCCGATGAGAGCTTCTCGAGGCTCGATTCTGGCCGTGTCAACACCAAGGTGCGCAGCTTCGGGCAGCTGTCCAAGGCCGGCTTCTACTTGGCCTTCCAGGACCAGGGTGCCTGCATGTCGCTCATCTCTGTGCGTGCCTTCTATAAGAAGTGTGCATCCACCACCGCAGGCTTCGCCCTCTTCCCCGAGACCCTCACGGGGGCTGAGCCCACCTCACTGGTCATTGCCCCTGGCACCTGTATCGCTAATGCTGTAGAAGTGTCGGTGCCACTCAAGCTGTACTGCAATGGTGATGGGGAGTGGATGGTGCCCGTGGGTGCCTGCACCTGTGCCTCCGGCCATGAGCCAGCTGCCAAGGAGTCCCAGTGCCGTCGTGAGTGGGGACCAGCCTTGGGGGGGAGGGGGAGGGAAGGGCTTGGGCCACAGCTGCCTTTTGCCCCCTATCTGCTGCTCCCTGCCCGCCAGACAAGGAAGTCTGGCATCAGGTCTGGGGTCGGGGACGGAAAGGGAAGAGGGGTATCAGGTGAAGAGAATGTTGGGCAAGGAGGGGGGTGAGGAAAAATATGGGGAGATACAGGCATAAAAAGAGAAAAAATGAACCTAAAGAGAGAAGAAGAGAGACATGGAGAATCCTTGACAAAGGTGCTCGGGGAACCTGGTCAGAGACTCAGGAGGCCGGCAGAGATGCCTGCTTCATCCCTACCCAAGGGCGCACCTCACCCTGGAAATACGGCTGTGGGGATGGAAGCTGTGGGCACCGTGTGTTCGGCCCTTTCACCTTGGGGTCTTACCAGCTCCGTGAAAGGCAGTGTTTATGCACTGTGGACAGGGGCCCAGTCCCTGAAATCCGAGTCCTGCTCTGCCTCGTAGCACCTGTGAGAACGTGGGCAGATACTTAACTCCCGAACCTTGGTTTCCTCATATACGGAGGGGGGACAGTAATGAGTTCTTCATGGAGACGTAGTGGGGCTTATGTGAGTAGAGGCATGTGAAGCGCTGGAGCAGTGCCCGGGACCGGGTGAGCACCGGCTCTGCTGCAGTTCAGTGGTCACTCTCAGGAGCCTTGCGATCAGGCTTGTTTGTCCTTACTTCACACAGAGGAGTTTAGGAGGCCCGTGCCCCGTGGCTCGCTGAGACTTGCATACTAGACTTCTCTTATTTGAGCCTCACCACAACCTTGTAAGGCCAATTCAGTTATGGCCCCTGTTTTTCCAAGAAGGAAACTAAGTCTCAGGTTTTGCATGCGAGGCCTCACAGCTGGCATTGTGGGAACTGGGCCTAAAGCCTGAGCCAGTGATCTGTCATGCAGTACAGGATGTCTCGGGCCTTGTCTTTCGTCCCCTCTGCCCAATTCTCTACCCCGTCACTTGAAGCCTGTAGCTTTGAGGGGTGGCAGCTGGCCCTGAGCGTAGCCCTAAGTGCAAGGGGGTTGGCAGCCCCAACCTGTCTCTGAGGCTGGTGTTGGGTGTTGTCCTGAGAAGGTGAACAGTGCCTTGCCAGGCCCCTCTCACTTCTTTGGGAACCTGCCCCCAGACTTCCTCTTCCTAAGTGGAGAAAGGGGGTGGGGGTGATGAGCCTGACAGGCTGAAGAGGGGCTAACACTCTGCAGGTCCCTGGCAGGAAATGCATGCTGGTTCCCATAGCAACCAGGCTGGCCTGGCCTCTGCCCCCTCCCCCACTGGCTCTAAAGAGCTTGGATGGAATATCACCTTAGGGAGGGGAGCGTAAACCCCAGAGAAAGACATAGCCCCAACTCTGGGCATTCCACACTCTAGATGACCTCCCCAGAGGTAGTCATTTGTGGGTAGGTGACCACATGCTTTAGTGTGTCCAAGGCACTCCTAGTTTATGCAGATGGTCCTAACATGATTATTACTAGTGACCCCTTTCACTCTCAGAATATTCCAGTTTGAATAATAAATTATATGGCCACGATAGTTCTGGGGAACATACAGAGCCCAGGTCCGGGCCCTAGTGTAGATGGTAGGTGGCAGGAGAGAGAGCAGAGAACTGACGTTCAGGCATCCAGCTCTTTGAAGCCTGGGGTTCCCCTTGTGGATGCTTGTAGGCCTCTGAACTCCAGGTGACCCCAGCTTTCCTGCCTGCTTTCTTTCTCTCCTTTCTCACCCCTCAGCGCCCACCCCTGCCCAAGGGCAGAAGGAAGCTGCTGCCCTGCTGCTGGTTGGGTGGGGAGAAAGACTGGCTGTGAAACGCCGAGGCCCTATCTCCGGCCTGTCCTGGAGTGGCCCTGAGATCCCACAATTTTCCCGGAGCTTCCGAGAGGGGCGGGGCATCTGGGCGGGATGTAGGGTGCGGCCAGTTCACTCGTGGTCTCTTCCCATCTTCCACCTTTTCCTCCTCTTCTCTTTTCCCGGCCTTGACAAGCCCAGGCTGTCCAGGCTGAAGTCTTCATCAGTGAGGCCCCAGGTGAGGGGGCAGCATTGGGGAGGAATCCACTGACATGGTATTAGGGCAAAAGGGCTTTTTGTAGCTGCAGCTGGAGTTAGGCAATACCAGCATGGCCCCCACAGTGTAGGAGGTGGAGGGGCCAAGACCTGCTGGGGAAGGGCCAGATTCTCACGGTGGTGTGGAGGGTTGGTTTCTGCAGGGAAGGGAGGTGAGCATGTCCCTCCTCTTCTTGCCCGCAGCCTGTCCCCCCGGGAGCTACAAGGCAAAACAGGGAGAGGGGCCCTGTCTCCCCTGCCCCCCCAACAGCCGTACCACCTCACCGGCCGCCAGCATCTGCACCTGCCACAATAACTTCTACCGTGCCGATTCGGACTCTGCAGACAGCGCCTGTACCAGTGAGTAAACACACATCCTCACATTCTCCGGCTCCAGGCCTTGCCTCTGCGGGCCAGCCTTGGAGGGCGTGAACAGTCACAATGAGTATCTCCAGGCTCAGGAGGTTAGAGGTTATACTCAGCATGGCACAGCTAGGAGATGACTGGCCCTGAGCTCGACAGAGTTCACATGGGCTGGCTCAGCCCTTCCCCAACACTGTGAGCACCTCCTAGCTCCTGAGCGTCAGGAACTGGCTGGGCCTCTGGGCCATCTTCCTCTGTGCAGAACTTCTGCTCTCTTGGCCTGGCTTTAACCACAGAGGGGACCTCACATCCCTCAGGCAGCCTGGTGTCCTGCTTCCTCCCCGCTCTGGCCTTTGGTGTGCCCGGCACTGTACCAGGCACCAGGGAGGTGGAGGAGAATCAGATACAGTCGCTGCCTAAAATGCAACCTGGTGGGAGGAACAGACATGAAAACGGATAATAGCCACATAGTGTGCTGAGTGCTGGGCTGGAGGGATGGCCAGAATTTGTGTTATGGGAGTGCAGTAGACAGGGAGAGGATGAATGAGGAAGGCTTCCAAGAGGAGGTGACATCTCCAGTTGAGCCTTGAAGACTAAATAGGAGTCTGCCGAGTAAAAAAGTACAGGAAAGGAACTCTGCTTATTAAAGCAGAGGCAGAGGCAAGGAGGGAGGGAGCAGGTTGGAATGTGTAGGCACCCTGGGCAGAAGGGTGGTCCTGGGGCCCCTCACTCACTGCCCTCTCCCTCCTCCTTCCCCACAGCTGTGCCATCTCCACCCCGGGGTGTGATCTCCAATGTGAATGAGACCTCACTGATTCTGGAGTGGAGCGAGCCCCGGGACCTGGGGGGTCGGGACGACCTCCTATACAATGTCATCTGCAAGAAGTGCCATGGGGGGCCTGGGGCCGGGGGGGCCTCCACCTGCTCACGCTGCGATGACAACGTGGAATTTGTGCCTCGGCAGCTGGGCCTGACAGAGCGCCGGGTCCACATCAGCCATCTGCTGGCCCACACACGCTACACCTTTGAGGTGCAGGCAGTCAATGGTGTCTCGGGCAAGAGCCCTCTGCCCCCTCGCTATGCGGCTGTGAATATTACCACCAACCAGGCTGGTGAGGAGGGGACCCAGGAGGGCAGGGCTGGGACCAACTTCCTGCATGGAGTTGAGGTTTCCCGGGGCCTGCCAATGGGCCACCAGGGGACCCACGGGAACTGGGTCCTTGGGAAGGGTGCCAGGGCCCAAGGAGCCCGTGGTGAGCCACCCACTCTTCCCCTAGCCCCGTCTGAAGTGCCTACACTCCACCTGCACAGCAGCTCAGGCAGCAGCTTGACACTGTCCTGGGCGCCCCCCGAGCGGCCCAACGGCGTCATCCTAGACTACGAGATGAAGTATTTTGAGAAGGTCAGAGACTCAAGGGGCGGGAGGAGGCCTTGGGACCAGAAGATTATCCCCAGATAGTATCAGGGGCCCTTGGGAGTAAGGTCTTGGGTCCTGAGGGGGCCATGGGGTGGGCCTGGGGGTGGGCAGGGGACAATTGGCCTCGGCCCACTGAGACACCTGCTTCCTGCTGGTGTTGCAGAGTGAGGGCATCGCCTCCACCGTGACCAGCCAGAAGAACTCGGTGCAGCTGGACAGGCTGCGGCCTGACGCCCGCTACGTGGTGCAGGTCCGCGCCCGCACTGTTGCTGGCTATGGGCAGTACAGCCGCCCCGCTGAGTTTGAGACCACAAGTGAGAGAGGTGCGTGCCCTCTGTGCCTGTCCGTGCCCCAGGCCACACTTTCCGTCCCTCCACTCACCAGGGCCCTCTCTGTCTCCAGGCTCCAGTGCCCAGCAGCTCCAGGAACAGCTTCCCCTCATTGTGGGTTCTGCCACGGCTGGACTTGTTTTCGTGGTGGCTGTCGTGGTCATCGCTGTTGTCTGTCTCAGGTACTCCCAGGCCCACGTTTGTTCCCATGGCTGACAAGAGCTTCCCTTTAGCACCCTAGTACGCACGTGCATAGGCGAATCATTGCCTGCATCAAATGCAGAGCCACGCACAGCCTTCCTGGGCCCCGCTCTCCTTGCTGGAAGGGTCTTCTCTGGTCCATGTGGATCTGGCCCAAGCCCACATCCACATCCTGCTCCCTCTGTGTCCACTGAGCCCCTTGCCCAAAGACCCAGTGGCTGCTGTAACCGCGGATCTAGCAGCCAAGCACTGGTCTACACTCAGTCCCCTGGGTACGCTACCCCTCCTGTGTGCCCTAGGGTCCCCCGAACAAAGGTTGCTGTGGGACTTGTCTCAGGCCTCCCCCCTCCCCCCTCCAGGAAGCAGCGGCATGGCTCTGATTCAGAATACACGGAGAAGCTGCAGCAATACAGTGAGTTTGACTCCTTAAGCTCCCTTGGTCCCCACCGGCCTTGGAGATGCCTCCTCCTGCTTCCAATCAGTGCCGTTTCCTGAGCCCCCTACCTTATTCCTGCCAGCCTCAGAGATGAATGAGATGTGACCCCTGTCCTCAAAGGCAGTTGAGTCCTGTGAAAAAGACAAGATGCATGTACACAGGAAGCAATGAGAAAACGATTAAGTGTTAAGCTGGGTGTTCCTGTCATAAAGGGCACTAAGAGTTCAGAGAGGAGGAAGGCTTCCTGGAGGAGGTGGCCCGCCTCTAAGCAGGATATAGAGAGGCGAGGGAGAGCACTCCTGGCTACAGGAGCCTCTGGGAGGTAGTAGGTGGGGTAGGGAGAGTGCCCAACTGTGGGGGCAGTGAGAAGACTGGTTTGACAGCTGCTGAGAAGCGGGCCAGGTAGCTGCAGCCAGCCCTTGGAGGGTCGTGAGAGGCAGGCAGAGGAGTTGGGACTTGACTCCACCATAGGTAATGGGAAAGGCTCTCCAGCTGAGGAGTAATATAATGAAACTATTGTTTTAGGAAGACAGGTATGCAGGTAGATTGGTGGGAACAGTCCAGAGGCAGCCTGCTGGGAGGCTGTTGGAGTAGCTGGGGTGCTAAAGGCCTGAACGAGGTCAGGGGCGGTGTAAGGGGAGGGGCAGATTTGAGAGAGGTTTCAGCATGATGAGAGAAGAAGGTGAAAGAAGAATACCCTAGAAGAATCCTTTGACTGCTTATGGACATTAGTTCTTATGGAGGGGAGGGGAGGGGAAGGGAGAGGAGGAGGGGGAAGTTGTGGCTTCAGTGGAGAGGAATATGGAGCTGGCTTAGCAGGGAGGTCACAACCTGTGGTCCCACTAGGGGTGACAGCCTGAGGGTGCAGGCTGATGAGTCTCCTCACCATCCCCAGCCTGAAGAGTGTGCCCACCTTCTCCTTCTCTAGTCGCCCCCGGAATGAAAGTTTATATTGACCCGTTCACCTATGAGGACCCTAATGAGGCTGTGCGGGAGTTTGCCAAGGAGATCGATGTGTCCTGCGTCAAGATTGAGGAAGTGATTGGAGCTGGTGAGTCCCCAGGGTCACAAGGGGGAAGAGAGGTTGGGGGAGGGGCGGTTACCCCAGAGGAGGGGGGCTGTGTGTAGGAGCAATCCCAGAAATAACTTACTGCCTGTGCCCTGTGCCCTGCAGGGGAGTTTGGGGAAGTGTGCCGGGGTCGGCTGAAGCAGCCCGGCCGCAGGGAGGTGTTCGTGGCCATCAAGACACTGAAAGTGGGCTACACTGAGAGGCAGCGGCGGGACTTCCTAAGTGAGGCTTCCATCATGGGTCAGTTCGACCACCCCAACATAATCCGGCTGGAGGGCGTGGTCACCAAAAGTCGGCCGGTCATGATCCTCACAGAGTTCATGGAGAACTGCGCCCTGGACTCTTTCCTCCGGGTAGGAGCCAGCCCCAACCCCTCACCGTTCCCCTGTCCCAGAGAGCTGGGCTGAGGAAGCCAGCCCCTCCCACAGGCCACACAGACCCTGTTCAAGTCCGTAAGCGGTTATTGAGGTGGCATAGTGTGGGGCCTTCAGAGCCAGAGAGACCAGGGTTCTCATCCTGACTCTGCCCCCACTGCCTGTGTGACCTCAGGCTTTGCTCAGCCTCCAAGTCTAGCTGCCTTGGCTGTAAAATGGAAGTGGAAAGTTTTATTTGGTTACTCACCGGGATTAATGGAGATGTTGTGTATAGATGCCTATTACAGAGCAGGGCAGCTTCCTTACCCTCAGTGCCCTCTGGACGTGGTCACAGGGATACGCAGAGCAGTCTTGGAGGACTTGGAGTGAGTGGGGGAGCAGGCCTTGGGCAGGCCCTGGGCCAGGGGGGAGGGGATGGCTGTGCTTGAGCTTGCTTATTGTCTCCAGCTCAACGATGGACAGTTCACCGTCATCCAGCTGGTGGGCATGTTGCGGGGCATTGCTGCTGGCATGAAATACCTGTCTGAGATGAACTATGTGCACCGAGACCTGGCTGCCCGCAACATCCTTGTCAACAGCAACCTGGTCTGCAAAGTCTCGGACTTTGGCCTCTCCCGCTTCCTTGAGGACGATCCCTCTGATCCTACCTACACCAGCTCCCTGGTACAGGAAGCAGCTGGGAGGGAGCCTGGGGGCGGGGCCAAGCAGGCAGGGGCTCAGGGCTGGGGACTAGCCCGGAGTCACAGGGTGAAGGGCATGTGCCCCCCCCACCAGGGTGGAAAGATCCCCATCCGCTGGACTGCTCCAGAGGCCATAGCCTATCGGAAGTTCACCTCTGCCAGTGATGTGTGGAGCTATGGAATTGTCATGTGGGAGGTCATGAGCTATGGAGAGCGACCCTACTGGGACATGAGCAACCAGGATGTGAGTGGGGCCTGGGTGGTTGGGGGGTGGGAGTTGGCTGGGGAGCAGAGTGGTTGCTCACTCCAGGTGCCTCTGCTTTCGGTTCAGGTCATCAACGCTGTGGAGCAGGACTACCGACTGCCCCCGCCCATGGACTGCCCCACGGCACTGCACCAGCTCATGCTGGACTGCTGGGTGCGGGACCGGAACCTCAGGCCCAAGTTCTCCCAGATTGTCAACACCCTGGACAAGCTCATCCGCAATGCCGCCAGCCTCAAGGTCATTGCCAGCGCCCAGTCTGGGTCAGTACCTCTGCACCTGCTCCTACCCTGCTCTCGAGCCAACAGCCCTCCCCCTTCTTCCCCAAACATTAAGACTCACCAGGTCCCTTTCTCCTCCCGAAGCATGTCACAGCCCCTCCTGGACCGCACAGTCCCAGATTACACGACCTTCACAACAGTCGGTGACTGGCTGGACGCCATTAAGATGGGGCGGTACAAAGAGAGCTTTGTCAGTGCAGGGTTTGCATCCTTTGACCTGGTGGCTCAGATGACCGCAGAGTAAGTGTGCCTCAGACTGGGAAGGGCAGGGCAGCGGTTGCTGAGCTGAGCTGAGCTGAGCCCAGGGTGGTGGGCAGGAGGTGGGAGACTGACCCTGCCCTTGGCCCATCTGCAGAGACCTACTCCGGATCGGAGTCACCTTGGCTGGCCACCAGAAGAAGATCCTCAGCAGTATCCAGGACATGCGGCTGCAGATGAACCAGACTCTGCCCGTGCAGGTCTGACACCCAGCTCCCACGGGGTTGTGCTCCCCAAGGACCACACAGGGACTCTGACCAGTCAGCTGGACTATTGGACTTTTGGATGCCTGGCCTTAGGCTGTGGCCCAGAAGATGAAAGTTTGGGGAGGGCCCAAGCCGGGGCTTCTCCTCCAGGCCTGTGCTCCCTCCCCAGAAGTTGTGCCCAACACCTCTTCATATTGAAGATGGATTAGGAGAGGGGTGATGACCCCGCCTCAGGCCCCTCGGGTGCCCAGGCCTTCCTGCTCGCCAGTGGGAGACCCCCACCACCTCAGACTTGACTGTTCTTCAATGCCGGAGGTCCTGACAGGGGCAGGTGGGAGATAAGCCTGGGTTCCATCGGGCCCAGCCCTGGCAGGGGTGTGGCCCCCCAGGTAGGCAGAGAGCAGTCCCTCCCTCAGGAACTGGAGGAGGGGACTCCAGGAATGGGGAAATGTGACACCCCCACTCCAGAGCCAACTGGCACCTCCAGTTTGCACAGGGACTTGTTCTGGGGGCTGAGGGCCCTGCCCCGCCCCCACCCTTGGTGCTGTCATAAAAGGGCAGGCAGGGGCAGGCTGAGGAGCAGCCCTTGCCCCCCAGAGACTGACTCTCAGAGCCAGAGATATGATGTGTGTGAGTGTGTTTGTGTGTGCACGCACTGGCCTGCACAGAGAGCGTGGGTGAGTGTGTAAAAGCTTGGCCCTGTACCCTGCAGTGGGGCCAGCTGGGCCGTCAGTGGAATAAAGGCAATAAGACGATCCTCTTGCTCCTTCTCATTTCGCTCCTGAGGCAGGATGCCCTGGTGCCCTGAAGTTCACAGTCCCTGGTGGCCAGCCCTTCAGAATTCCCTGGAGTCATGGGAGGCCAGATCCAGGCCTCTCCAGGCTCGACTTCCCTCCTTTTTTGCTGTAGTGTCAGTGCATCTAACTTCTTGGCAGTGGGGTGATAACAGGAGAGTGCAAACGACACCAGAGCTTCCTCTAGGGCCCAGCCCTCCTGGGCAGAGGGGCAGACACTTGAGTCTGGATGGCATTTTACAGACAGCATCCTTTCACACCCGTTGTTTCTGATGGAGCTGAGGGTAGAGTGGGTTGGTCAGCTCCCAGGGTCACGTGGCTAAGGACCGCGGGGCAGAGAGCCCACCTGAGTTCAGCTGCAGAGGCCGGCTCCTTTCAGCAGACATCAGCCCAGAAGTGCGGCTAGTCTTTGCCGAGTTACAATGCTCCAGGCATTGGGCTAAAATGCTTTTTTTACATGGCTCTTATTTAATCTCACAACAACCCAGCCAGGGAAGGAAGTATTTTAATTTCCTTTTTACAGAGGAGGAAAGGGAGAGGTTAAGTAACTTGCCCGAAGTCGCTAAGGCAGGGAGGCCTGGGCCTGGGCCTGGGCCCCCACCCAAAGACTGCCTGCACACTAGAAAGGTTCAGGGGGCAAACAGCAAGAGCCCGGGAAAGGGTCGGGGAAAACAGCTTCTGTAAATGTCAGAGGAGAAAATGTGTGTGTGTGTGGGGGGGTGCCCAGAGACCCCTTGGATGCAGAAGAGAGGTAGGGGGCGCAGGTCCAGTCGTTTTTCCAGTATCAGGAGGGGCCCTTGAGCAGTAATAACACCTTGCGTAACCTGGAACAGGTTTCCAAGGTATCTACACAGCCTAAATTAGAGGGTATTTGGCTGGACCCATGGCCGGAAGGTCATGGACAAAGCCTCCTAGATCTCCTCAAAGCCCCTCACATTTCCCGGATGCTTCCAGGCTGGCGCAGCGGTTGAGGAATTCTAAATGGGGGTGGGTGGTTGCTAGGGGCTGGCGGAGCTTCAGGCCCGTAGTCCCGGGACAGCTCCTTCAGGTCAGGAGACCTGGACCTGGAGGACAGAGGCTGCGGGAGTGGAAGGCTGAGTTTCGTTCTGCGCGCCGCCAGTGGCCGCCTGGCAGGGACCCGGGGACCCGGGCGGCAGGAGCACGGCGCAAGCTCCCTGGGCCGCTCCAGCCCCTCCGCTGAGCGCTGCGACCGCGCCCGCTCCTTAGTATTCCCCCCACGGAGCCCTGTGCCGCGCTGCAGTAGCCGGCCGGGGGAGGGGCGCCCCGTAAAGCTCCGGCTCACCACGTCCTCTCGGTCCTCACAGCGGGGCGGGGAGGGGACGGAGCTTCTTGGCGAGGCCTTGGCTGGGGAGTCTGCGGAGGGCGGGGGTCGGGAAACGTTGCCGGGGCCCGAGGTCGCCTTGGGCCTAGGCGCCAGAGCTGTCAACAGCACGAGGTGTCACGGGCCACCGGGGGAGGGGACGCAGTGCTGAGTGGCGTCCTGCACACCCTGCGCCGCATTCCCCCACAGAGGACTCAGATAAAGGGGAGGGGGCGCTCCAATCTCCGGCTCAAGTATCCACTTCCTACTCCTCAGGCTCCGACACAGGGGAGGGTCCGTGGCCCCCGGTCGCCTGTTGTGACCCCTCTCACGTCACTCCAACTATATTAGCGGGAGTATGGAATGGGGGCTCTGCCAGAAGAGGTAAGACGTCGCCCCCTACTGGGTCCGCAGGAAGGGCAGGGTCGTGGACTTGGAGCGCCAGAGGACTGGGGGCTGGGAGCCGCAGTGACGGGGACACTTGGTGTGCGCCCCAGGCCGAAGATTTCGAGGGACCTCTTGAACCCGGAAATCCAGGGTGCATTTGGTGCTCTGTTGGATGTGCCTGGTGCAGCACATTGCACATATCTTCCTCCACGCGTGTCCAGATTGCCTGGAAGCCCCTGCATGCACACCTCTGCTTTCCTTCACATGCGCAAACAGCAGGCAGGGGCACACTACCCTTACCAAAGCCGCACCCACACCAAGTCCCCAGATCACCTCCCTTACTCGGGTTCACAAGTCTTCATTTCCTAGACCCTCCCTAGCCCCACCTCCCAACCCACACACCCTGAGATGGGGGGAAGGGATGCAAAGGAGGAAAGACGAAAGCCATCCCCTCCCTTGAAAGTGCCTCTCCCCGGTGCATTCCTACCTGGGCAGCTTAACCAACCCAGCAACCTGAGTCTCCTCTGAGAAGGCTGGGATGAGTCCTCAGACTCCCGAGCAGGGGTGTGAGGAGAGGCAGGCTGTGGTTACTGCAGGGGAAGAATGAGGGTACTCAGGAGGGGCCTGGCTTTCCTGGAGTCAGGTAAGGAGTGAAGGTAAGTGAGGTCTTAATCTGCCCAGTCTTGGTTAATTACACACACTCCTGGGGGGTAAATAATTAGATCTCCAAGTTAGCTCTTAAAATGGGAAGCCAGCGGGAGGGGGATGTTGCCCCTAAGAGGCAGTTGTAGCCCCAAAAGGCCTATTTTGTTCCCCTCTCTATGCCTGAACTCAGAGTGGGAAAGGTAGGCAGAGCGAGCTGCTCTGGGCTGTGCTCAGCCCCTCCAGGGTGGCCCCATGCAAGCAGGAGCCTGGAGAGCTGCTTTTAGACCTAAGCCTGGGTGGCCAGGCCCTGGCTCAGAACCTGGAAAATCTGGGGCTACTGTAGTACTGCAGTGGGAAGGGCATAGATTTGGAGTATAGGCAGACCTGGGGTGGAAGCCTAGGTTCCTAGTCTGTGACCTTGGGCAGGCTGTGACCTCTCAGTGCCTCTTGCCCTCATCTAGAAAAAGATGGAGTTAATCATTCCTGCCTCATGAGACTGTTACAAACATCAATCAGTTAATACATGTAAAGTACGTGCTGGGATCATAGTAAGTACTCAAAAATGTCAGCTACTATTTTTATTAATATGAAGTTTAAATAAAATATAGGAACAGATAGGAAAGTGCTGAATAGTGCTTGGCACAGAGCAGGGTTCAAAGAAACCAAAGCACTCGGGGAAATCCATCAACCCCATTCCGCCCATGGGGGTGCTGAACACTGTGATGCAAGCTTAGCCCAGGCCCGGGCCCACTTCCTGGGAAAAGGCTGCTGGGGCCCAGGTGGTTTGAAGGCAGTGAGAGTAAAGAAGTTCACTAAGGGGTAAAGAACGAAGCAAGTAACTGAGGAATCCTAGTTCCTTCATTTCTCCCTTTGGCCCACTGATCCTGGGTCTGGAGGGGGTGGCAGGAGGGGGCTCCTTCCCTCCAATATTCATTCATTCTTCAGATATTTAGTGGACATTCTCTATGCACTAGCCACTGTGGTGGGCACTAGGGACAGTGGAATGAGCAAGCCCAGAGACAGCTACTGCTTCAAAGATCTCAGTCCAACAGGGACATGGAGGCCATTCAAACAGCCATAACAAGAAATGTATATAATCAAGTGGAGATAAATGTTACGTATGTGGGACCAAATCACAACTCTGGGGACCTGAGCTAATTTTGGGCAAGGCTAAGGGCCCTGGGACCGGCTATCCCATACCCCAGAGTGGGAGCTGGAGCCCCTATTACCATCCAGGTCCTTTCAACCTTTTGCTGTCTGACCCTGAGTATGTCTTCATTCACTGCCTCCCTCACTCATTCATTTATTCTGCGTAACTTCATTGAGCCCTTGCATATGTCAGTCTCAGTGTGTGGATTTGGGGAAGTAGAGATGAACTGGCTACAGCATCACTCCTTGAACGTACACACAGCTCAGAGGGGGACACTATATATAAGTCAACTAATACGATGTGACAAGGGAAGTGCTATTGCTAGGTAAGGACCAGGGACTGTAAGGAAGGGACCCAGGCTAAGCACCCTGTCAAAGAAGACTGCTCAAGAATGTGACTTGACTTAAGCCTTGAAGGCTGTTAGCAATTAGCAAGAGGGGAGAGGAGAGCAGTACATGCAAAGGCCCTGGGGCAGGTAAGAGCAGGGCAGTCCATTAGTTAATGTCGTATGTCCACAACCTTGTTCCTTCCTCATTCGAACTCAGGCAATGAGGAAGGAACAGGGCCATGGATATATGACACTGACAAGCCTTCTATTTTCCCGTAATTCAATCCCAGCTGGGGGCATGTGCTTTCCACAGCCCAGAGGGCCAGCCTTGAACACCTGGCCGCAGCAGTTCTACAACTCCACAGTGTTCTTTGGGCTAGTTCTGTAGGTTGCTATTTCTGTAGTCCTCTACCCTGCAGCAGGGCACATTTACCCACAAACATCTCTGAGAAAACGATTCTCTCCCTATTTCCACAGAAGAGCTTGGAGAGAACACATGGCTTGCCTCTCTTGGAGAGATCACAGAGCCAGTCAGTCAATGGCAAAGCAATCCCAATCTGGTCTACTCCGGTCATGCTTCCATTTTCTTCCCACCACATCAGGATGCCTTGGAAGAGGGCCTACGAACATCTAGGAATGCTGCACCTGGATGGTGCACACAGGCCCTTCCTGGGCCACTTCAGAGTGATGCTCTCCCCCCTAGGAAGGGCCCTGCACAGAGGAGCAGGGGCTTCCTGGGCTTTCAGTTCTCAGAGAAAGGGTGGGAGGAAGAGGAGAGTGAGAGTGGGGGGAGGGGCCAGGGTGGGGGCCCCAGGAGCTGAAGGCACTTGTCAGTACAGTCCAGGAATGGTATAGGGTTCCAGCTTGGGGGTGGGGACACAGGTCTGACAGGCAAGCAGCCCTGTCCCTCTACTTTCCCTCCCTGCCCCTCTCTGTTTGTCATTAATGATTCCCATCTCACGGAGCAGGAATGAAAACAGGCTCAGGATCTGGCTGGAGGCCTGCTGTGACATCAGCCCAGAGGTGGCTGTCCTGACCCTGACTGTTGGGGGCCTGGGGAAGACCCACTTCCCCACTTTGTCCTGAACTGACAGGGAGAAGGAGAGAGGCAGGAGACAAGTCTCCCTCTC